GTCACTACATATTCTCTAGTTTCTGGTGTTATGAGGTCCTTGGCATGAAGCGCATTAGTGACATTACTCACATTTGCTCCTACTGCCTTGGCTAGCTTATCAGAGTATTTCTGTAATATCTCCTTTGGAGTTTCTACAGTTCAAATTAAGAGTACATATGTGATGCACACATAACTATCTATCATATGATCTTGCTTACGACTCATTGTTTTTCCTTGTGTCTTAGGCTATGACAGAAATCTAAAGGCAAGAGAATAAAAGACTATTTAAATGGCTATCTTACAATGACTGTAGGCTGGTCTACAGCTGCCTCGATCCAAAGAGAAGGCTTGTGGTTGGTTCCGAGACAGTGGACTTCTGGAATGCAAGCAGCCACACCCTTGTTTTTTGTAGTCATGCTCCGCCCATTAGAAACCTTCCCGGGAAAAAAGGCGCCAAAGTTTAACCCTTTTCTTACCACACACATGGCGGCAGCTGACTCCTTCTTCTCAAGTCTCATTAAAGGTATCTGATCAACTGATCATCTCTCTCTATAAAATAAGATATTATTTTTTCAGATCAAAAGTCACTGTCTCCATTCTGTCTCGTACACAGTCTACAAGGAAGACCCTGTCCCTCTGATGATGGAGGGGAGGGAGAGAAGGAGGAGGAGAAAGAAGAAGATAGACTAAAGTGAGCCTTGTGATTCTTTTTAATAATTAATATTTTTTAAATCAACCAATCAAGTTTGAGTGTCTCGCTTTTTGAAAGTCCCCATTCAAAGCCACCTCCATCTACTGTCCAGCCAATTAGAACACCATCGAATAACGTATGTCTAATTATTTCCAATTAATGCTCGTTAAACATGCGTAGGTTGCCACACCTTTGACACTTCAAGTCGATTGTGTTGATAGGGTGTGGTCTCCAGCTATGGCCACACCCACATCAAAGAAGTCTCATTTTTCGTCGATTAGCGAGTTGGGAACTAGCTGTAGCTCAATTGACCAATCAGAGAGAGAGGAGAAGGAGAAGAGAGGAGAGAGGGAGATTAGGGAACGTGCTAGGAATCAAGGATCAGAAGTGAGTGTGATCATTTTACTTAAACACATTTATGAATAATTATATATATATATATATTTTTAATAGATAATAGTTCGTAGGTTATTTCATAGCCAGCCCGAGGCCACACCCAATTTGCATGATGATTCAATCAACAAAAATGATGACATTATCTCTGACGTTGATCTAAACCACACCCACAACAGCATGACT